TCCCACTTCCTCATTCGTTGGAATTCCGTCTCTGTCTTAGCATCCAGTTATGTGGTTCTTTGGTTGAGTTGAGTAATAACACCCTTGATCTCTTCTTGAGTAATATCAACCTAGAAATTCAATCATCTTCTTTTCCATCTTGTCATTAGTAGTGAATCATGATAGATCCGTTGCAAGCAATACCAACATCCGCCACAAACAGCATTCGAGGCTACTAGAAACGAGCAAATAAAAAGTTCTCACATTGTTCATGAATCAATGCAAGTTTCAACAAGATCACTCATCAAGGAACAAACGGATGGCAACAAAGGTCCTAAACGGGGTATGATATGACATGCAAAACAAGAATGAATCACTCACTCTCTTGAACAGTGGGGTCGAGACCTTTTGGTGCAAAGAATGTGCACAATCATCAACACTCGGCCCTATCATCTCAACACAACGGAGGCAACCTCTAAACGCTAGAGTTCACGGAATGGTTGTCATCTCTACCTTGTCCGGAGGTCTTAGACACGGGTTCAAATGACTGGCAAGTGTCTTGGACATGGGGAAAAGGCTTTTTGGATGGTGGCAAAGACATCATGACTCCTACATCTTCACCCTCAACCCGAAGACTCAATGGTTTCAACTAGGAACCTTCCTTACAAACAATGGCCACTAGCTTCGGACAAAAACCTTGCTTCTCCCTTCCAAGCTATCACCCATCATGAACTTCCTTTAAGCACTCTTCCTCGCTCTACTCTTGCTATCAGATTTCACCTTGGTAGTGAAGGAGTTCTAAGACAATGTGGAGGTTTCAATTGCTTGAGTGCCAAGAAACCTCTCCTACAACATACTCTTTGATTCCTTGTGGCACTCTCTACTTTATTTATCCCGCTTTATCACCTCTTTTTCGTTTCCTTTTTCTTCCTTTCTCTTTCTCTTTTTTTCTTCTTTTTCTTCTGAGGGGGATACTAAAGAGAAAAACACTTGCCACTTGTAATTTTAACGATCAATGCTCTCCTTTTAAGAACTCACTCCAACACTACTCTTCCTATCACTTTCGTTCCTAGCAAGAACCGCACAAAATCCTCTGACACGCTAAAACACAACACCAAACTGCGACCAAGTGTAATCGCAGTCCGGAAATGCAGTAAGTGGCAAACTCTATTTGTCAACCCGGGGTCTAGATCTACTGCCTACTCCGTGATTATCTATTATCTCGCAAACTAAGTCGTGTGATTGTGATTTTAACTATAAGCAGTAAGAAAGCAGGAAATGATTCAAAGTTCTTTAGCAAGGGAAGAGTCACTCAGGAATGAGTCCCCCTAGCTCCTTAGTTAGGTCGAGGTTGTAATTACCCTGGGTTGATTAACTGTTGATTAAACTGCGGAAGATCCGACAGTAGCTTGGAATCTCTTAAGCTGACCAAGCCCTCTCAGACAGGATAACCGGCAGGCGACTAACCATCACCGCGATAGACTGTTGAGGCAATAAGCACAGAACTCCACTACTGGAATTGGGTTCCATTACAAAGCGGTAAATTGATTAACTCTCGTATAACCAATCTACCACTACCGATTGATGAAGCTCTAACAACCTAATCAGATTCTATCTATCTCAGGTTGCAGCAAAAATCAAGAAAAGATGATCAGACTTCAGTTGACTCAATGAATCATGCATCAATCGATTATAACCAATCAGTGTATCAATCCTAAGTCATTAGAATCAAGATTCCTAACACATGTAACTAGGGTTCTTCATACCCAAGTGAGAGAAGGTTCTACTCCATAGAGAGAGAGAGAGAGAGAGAGAGAGAGAGGAAAACAGAATTCAGAGTAGTCATACTCATAAAGATGAGGATAATTTGCTCTGGGATGTGGATCTTCACTCCTGGGGACGCAATCTTGGCTTCAATGGTGAGAAATCCACTCCAAATAGCTCCTAGGGTTTGTTCTTCGCACTTTCTCTCTCTAAAGCTCTATTTTTTGCTCAAAAACTAGATTCCCTCGCCTTTGGCTTAAATCTGCCTCAAAAGCCCGATTCTGGGCAAAGCACGGTCGAGGACATGGCCGTGCTTTTCTTTTGCCCGTCCGTGTTCTCGTCATGTGTTTAAAACACACCCGCGTCGCCCTAAAACACGGTCGTGCCCACTTATTGACACGACCGTGCTTTTCTTCACTTCTTCCCGTGTTTTGGACTTCACAACAGCCTTCAAAAGCAACCTCTCGGCATAAATAACACGAGCGTGTTATTCTTTAGTCCAACTCGTGTTTTGCTTCTTCATCAGTTTAGCTCTCGGCATAAAAAACACTGGCATGCTCGTCCGTGCACACGGCTGTGCACTTCAGGCCTCCTGCCCGTGTTTTGCCTCCTAGCCTTCCCTTCGACGTCTGGGACCTGAAATGTGAAAAAGTAGCACAACCCAACGTAAAATAGGCCAAAAATGCACGACTACAAGCCGCAAACGGATAAGAACTAAGAGTGCAAACACGTGCAAATACACCATTATCATCCTCCTTTATAGAACCTCAATGGAACTCAAAAGCGAGAGCTTTGGGACACAAGGACGACTCATGTATATACATGAAGAAAGGATGGGGTGTCGTTCTATCAAACACCAATAAGCTTACGAGCGAAAAGCTCCTACAATGAGAACGACCCCCAAAGTCAAAAGGCTCAAAGGGGTTGACTAGGGGATAAAATATTTTGGGACAATCAAAATTTGGGCGTGGACTAATCCTATGCCTCCATCATACTCACTAGTAACAACTGTAATGTTACTCGCCATGGTAAGAGGGATCTAAGCACACGAGAAGAAAACGATCGGCTCAAAACTCACATGGCTACCTAGTCACACAACCATCTATTCCAATTCACAAAGCAACATGGATGGCAATTGTAATCAACAAGTAATCGAGTCAAAACATCCATTCTTTTTTGAACACATGAGAACGAAACCTTTGCACTATCCTAATGCACCTCTCAATCATCATCATAGGACGCAGTCGATCACATGCAACAATTCAACGTCAATGCCAATAACCACAAGATTCTTCTACAAACCGGCCACTTTGATCATGCAAACATTGCTTGGAGCCCTCAAAATTTTCAAATTTGGGCATACATCAAGCATCCAAGCATCAATCACACTCACACAAGCGTAAGAATAAACCCCCCTCCCCCCACACACTTAAGTTCGACATTTCCCTCAATGGTGTAAGAAAGGGGTAGAACAAGTGTTACCGCTTTGCTTGGTGAGTGAAAGTTGAAATTGTTCCCGGGATAGGAGATTTAAGCTTCAAGGAGAAGACAAAAACACATATACACAAACACAATACGACTCACTCGAGGCGAGGTTATTACACATCACATCACAATACGATAGTAGTAGTTTATGAGAAACTTGCTAACCTCCGTTGGGTTGCCTCCCAACAAGTGCTACTTTAACGTCTTAAGCTAGATGGAAGCTTTGGACTAAGCATCTTGCAGGAATACCACCTCCCTTTGAGGCATTACCTCTCCTCCAAGGTAACGTTTTAGGTGGTGTCCATTCACTTTAAAAGTTCCTTTCTCTATGTGGGAGATCTCCACCACCCGTATGGGAACACTTGCGTTACCGCATACGGGCTCGACCATTTTGAGCTTAACATCTTGGGGAATAACCGCAACCAGGAGTTGTACAAGAGCACCTGCTCTCCCAGTTAAAGATCCACCCCCCCCCCCTTCAAACGCGCATCATGCAAGCGCTTTGTCCTTTCCTTGTAGATCTTGGTATTCTCATAGGCATGGAGGCGCCACTCCTCGAATTCAAGCACCTGCAACTTTCTTTCATTTCCACACAAAGTAGGGTGCATATTCAATAACATGGTGGCCTACCGAGTTAAAGGAAGATTCACTTCATCATGTTTAATTTTTTTATATTGCTCGATATTTTGGTATATATTAATTCCAATCGCATATCTCGAATATCAAATACTACTAAAAAATTAATCACAATCACAAACCCAAGAAAATAACTGGATAATCGATAATATCAAATAATGATAATTTCGGTGTGGCATTTAGTATATCCCAAATACTGATACCAAACTTGCACCCTTGCCACGAACAATATTTTAGACATTGCAATCCTTGAGGTTTAATCAATGACTTTCCAAGTAATTGTTAATTACTAATCAATTTAAATCACTACTCATTAGCTAGTGATAAAACTAATAAGCACATGAACATGGTTAATTACATGGCATAACTATGCGTTATCATTCCTTTATGAGATTTACTATGGCCAATAATTTCGATTAGCTCTAACTAGCCACTACCTAAGTAGCATTCATTACTAATGAACTAGTAGCTAAATCAGTCTGGCCACTATTCACCCCACCTCTCGCAAGAACTTCATGTTCTAGTTCATCAGTAGACTTTGTTATGGGCAAATCAATTATGGTCGATTCGTTGTCCAAGTTTAAAGGTTATGACATATAAAAGTTTACACACATACCTAACTATATATTAAGTATCATTAACTTTGTTTCAATAGATATCAGGCGACCACCAATATTGGATTTTTTTATTAAAGATATTTTAATTTGTGTCCAAAAAAATTATCAAATAAAAGAAAAGTTATTCGCATCAAATTAACATATATAAATAGAGCATGACCCGTTCTTATGTTGTTGGCCGCCTTGATATATACATAGATAGTAATTAATAATTAGTGGTTGCCCACCACCTTTCCACATACGTAATATAGGCATGTGAAAGCAGGGCTGTTGTATAATAAAAATGTGTTGATCTTGCAGTCAACTGTGTATTAGATGGAGAATCTTGCTTAACTTGTTCAATATACTAATGAATTGGTTGAGCATTTCGTTTTCACGATGGTCTAAAGAAATTGATGATCATTCATGCCCCCCCAGCTTCGTCATTATCTTCATCATCGATCGGGCAATCTGTTGGTTGGCCATTATTTCCCTTCCTCCCACGGCTAGCCTTAATTTCCGTTGGTGAAGAGTGAAATTATGCGGTCGGGGGCAAATTACTGGGGAGGAACACTGGAGGTGGCGGAGGAAAACGCAGAGGAGGTTGATGAGGAAGAGCGAGAGGAGAGGCGGCGGAGGATGGAGAGAGGATCGCAGGCGCAGCAGGGCAACAACTACGAGCACTTGAACGAGACCCAGCAGAGCTGGCTGCTTTTCCCAGAAGCGCTGAAGAAGAAAGGGAGGAAGAAGCAGAGCGTTGACCTGGGTTGTATGGTGTGCAGCCGTAAGGCCTTCAAGTGGAGTCTCATCTCCATAGGGATCGCTTTCCTCGTGATTGCACTCCCAACCATCATCGTGAAGGCCATCCCCAAGCACAAATCCCGCCCACCTGCGCCTGACGACTACACCCGCGCCCTCCACAAAGCCCTCCTCTTCTTCAACGCCCAGAAGTGTAAGTCGTCACTCAAATCTAATTAATTACTTGTGTCTGAGATTTGTTATCGATGGAACCAGCCTTCAAATACATGTAATAATAATAGTGGTCCGTCCGTCCGTCCGTCGTGTGGGTGTGCAGCTGGGAAGCTGGGGAAGAGCAACGGGATATCGTGGCGAGGGGACTCGGGGCTGCAGGACGGAAACGACACCGTATTCAAAAAGCGGGGCCTGGTGGGAGGATACTACGACGCAGGGGACAACACCAAATTCAACTTCCCGATGGCCTACGCCATGACGATGCTGAGCTGGAGCTGCATCGAGTACAGCCACAAGTACCGCTCCATCGGCGAGTACACCCACCTCACGGACCTCATCAAGTGGGGGACCGACTACCTCCTCCTCAACTTCAACTCCTCCGCCGCCACAGTCGACCACATCTACGCCCAGGTCGGGGGCAGCCGCAACGCCTCCCAAACCCCCGACGACCACTACTGCTGGGAGAGGCCCGAGGACATGGACTACCCCAGGCCCGCCATCGCGGTAAGCGCCGGCCCGGACCTCGCGGGGGAGATGGCCGCAGCGCTGGCCGCCGCCTCCATCGTGTTCAGGGACTCCAACGCCGCCTACTCCAGGCGCCTGGTGAGGGGCGCGGAGACGCTGTTCCGGTTCGCGAGGGACCAGGGCAGGCGCCGCTCCTACTGCCGCGGGAACCCCTTCATCGAGCCCTACTACAACTCTACGGGGTACTACGACGAGTACATGTGGGGCGCCACGTGGCTGTACTACGCCACGGGGAACAACACGTACCTGTCCCTGGCCACCAACCGGGGGCTCCCAAAGAACTCGAGGGCCTTCTTGGGGATCCCGGATCTGAGCGTGCCCAGCTGGGACAACAAGCTGCCCGCGGCCATGCTGCTGCTCACCAGGTTCAGAATCTTCCTCAGCCCGGGCTACCCCTACGAGGATATGCTTCGGATGTATCACAATGTCACTGCTCTCAACATGTGCTCCTATCTCCCTCAATTTGCCGTCTTCAACTGGACCAAAGGTACCTCCTCTACCTCGACTTGTCATCTCTCTTTAATTTCCACAAGTACTAGGGAAGTCAACTAAATACAGCAGTGAGCAGCAGATTAATTAAGTTTGTGTGAAAAGTCAATTATTTTGTCATTTTAAACTTGAAGTTAGGCCAATTAAGTTCTCATATTATATTTTTTTTTGGATGAAATCTTCTCATATTGTTAATAGTAGACAAAGCACCTTTTTATCGTTTTACGCAATCGAATTCATTTTCTTTTCGCCCTAGGTTTTTCCTCGTTTCTTTTCCTACTTGAATTCCTAGTCCAATTGCAACAAATACGATAATAAATAATCTGAGTAATATAATCTCCAAATAATACCTAAATAATTAATCAAAGATACACAACCTTAATTTTTCGGAAAGTTGGCTCGATCTATTAACATACAAACATTTTTCAATTGATTGTAATGTTGTATTTTATCTTAATATAAATGTACAGATTATTAAAACTTGACATAGTATATTTATCTGCACATGCCATATCAATTAATTTTTCAATATATCTTGATCAAGCTGAATGAACATCAATTCCACGCACTATTAATCCTTCAATCTTTTATGTAGCCTGAGTCAATAGATTAAACGAGTTTGAAACAACTGTCCAATAGAAATAAAGCCCATAGCAATCTCCGGGAATGGGAACCCAAACGCACACTCAAAAGAATCCTATTCAAATAAAAAAATCATACAAGCAAGAGGCAGTCGCTTGCATCCTCACATCCAGATGAAGAAGAAGAAACGAAATGGGAGAGCCCCTCCAACAAAAAGACTACGACGGGGAGGATCGATGCCAGAGCTACTCTAAGACCTCCAAATCACCCCTCTGGGACCCACTTGTTGGAATCTAACCACAAAGAGAATAACTGCAAGATCTGAAAACATATCTGAAGTGTGTAAGAGGAATTTTTTAGTTACCCTTCTAGTGGCAGCCTATATTTCTCACGTCTGCAGTAGTTTACTTGTCCAATTTTATACTAAATAATATGGTGATCATGTCGAATAGGTATTGGATAATTGTTTATATCATGGTTAAACGATAGTATTATTAATGATTAAGCTTTTGGTTAACTACTACTGTACGTTTTCATCTTATTTTATTGATTCTCTGAAATTACTATTAATTTGTAACTATAAGAACTAAAATAGTATGACATGAAAAGACCAAAGATTATAAATTCCAAGGTGAATATGATGAAAACTTATAATAGTTGGATCTACACTTTTAGCTTATCATTAACAAGTAAGCGCCATATATATATAACTATTACTACAGGGGGGTTGATTCAGCTGAATCATGGAAGGCCACAACCTCTTCAATATGCAGCCAATGCGGCCTTCTTGGCATCTCTATTTGCTGATTATCTGAATGCAACCGACGTCCCTGGATTCAACTGCGGCCCCAACTTCATTCCTATTCATGTACTTCGAAGTTTTGCTACTTCGCAGGTGAGTTTGAGCTACCTTCGTACCTGACATTTATGGATGCAGAGTTAGCTATATGTGTTATTTTGTATTAAAATAACTAGATCGGGCTCGCCCGTTGGCCGGATATAAATAACCTTATTAATTGTTCAAAGCAAGACATGTTTTATTTCATAACATAAAAATTTCAAATCATTTAGTTATTGAAATCATACTCTTATCATTTTTAACATGCCAAACTGATTTACTTACGTTCAGAAGTTCTTACTCTAATAAAGTAAAAAACAAAAGTCATGTAAAGAAATTGACTCCTAAAGCTTTAATAAAACGACAACACTATTTACTCCTCGATGTCAATAATTATTACGAATCTCATTTTGGATTTCATATGATGCTCCCCCTAATTCCTATGTCCTCTAAAGCTCCATCATATCCACCAATTACAATGTTTTTGTATTTCTTAGCCAAATTTTTTTCTTCACAATAATTGTATACACTGAACATTACACACAATAAAATTTATGTCTCGGGAACATTTTATGAGATTTTTTCTTTCCGTAATGCTGACAAACAACCCTGTGACCAACACAAAATTTGATAATTTGTAGATTGAAAACTTAATGGCTGTCCAATTTTTAAAAATGGCTTAAGAAATTTTAGTGGTCGATAATGAGAATAATTAGACCTGCCACAAATGCCATCTTCTATATGTGGTTATTTGATTTTTAATTTGTAAATCATGAATTAAGCATAGAGTAACATGATCATTCTAAGTCGTCTCTAAGAAGATTGAGAGATTAGTAAATGTCCAGTCATCAAGGTGATACCACATTCATAACAATCTAATAAAAAATTGATGGTGAGGATACCATTATAAATTGTCGTAGATATTGGGAACCATTATAGAAGAATTGATAGTTTATGAATGCTATTATATATGATGCTATAGAAGGCTAGAATTACATATTTTTTATTCCAAAATATGTCAAAAGGATATCATTTTATATAATATAATTTTTCCGCAAGAATTTTCTAATTTAAATTATAAAAATTAAATATGATTAATTTAAAACTAATAAGGGAGTGGATATGTGCCTTAAATCATAAGCTCATATTATATTTAAAGGAACAAATTAATTAAAAAGGGATGGCTTTCTTTTTAGTTGACCAAACAATCTTTCCTTGTTGTGCGGAGAAGCTAGGAAAAAACCAATTGGGTGGGTTCTCAAGGAGAACCTCTTTATATTGTTTAGAGGATGTAAAAAATAATAACATTTTTTGATAAAAAAATAATTGTAATTGCTCCAATCAAATTACGTTTTATTTTGTATCAACTCAAATCCAAATTATCCAATTGTTAAAAATATTAAAAAAAACATACATGATAAGTTTTCTTACATAAAGTCCTTATCAAAAGTGAAAACACAATCCATGCAATGAAACCAATCCCTAAAAAAATTAATCGAAACGGTATTTAGTTTACTCTTTGTTGTCCTAAACTATTGCAATTCTTTTGGACTTCTTTGTGATTGCTCGGTCGTCAAAAGCAGTGTACCAAACCCTCCCTCTCCAAGCAGTGTACCAAACCTGGAAATAATGGTATATTTGAAAACATTGAGCAAAACTACGAAACTAAGGAAGAAGATGAGAAGCGGAATTCTGAAAATCGAGTTCTAGATGAAGAGTGATCGGACATAAATCATGTATGTATCAAGTTTGCCCTGTGAGATTCGTCACCCAATAGTTGCTGTTCGACAATGGCTTCCTAAAAACCCTCGAAGATATAAAAAAGAATGCAGGACTGAAAGCAGTTCAACAATGGCTTCTGAGGAAAAAAAAAAGTATCCAATTTCAGTAGATGGAGTAAGCAAGAACACATTTGCAACTCAGCCAACCCATAACTCAACTCACCTTGTGCAGAAAGATGATGTTGATTTTTAAGTTTTGTGCATATGAACTTCAAAACCATCAAGCTCCTAGAAAGGCAGCTTTACAATGCTTCTCAAGCCACTATTCTACATAAATTTGAAACATATTGCAGCAAATAGTAGTACCTGCCACTGGCCACTTTTGTCGGTAATGCTTAAACCACTAAATTAGTTTACCGCCTTTTGTCTCAAACGTGATATTGCAGCAAGTTATGTTCATGACAGCAAGAAGTTTAATGACGCATTTAGCCATCTTACCCCATTCTCGTGTCAATAATTTTTCATGAAGAAGTAAAGACATAGGGAACTATGGTGTAGCAAAAACAAAAGGCAATAAGAAGGGAGGTGATAGTCAATAGCATGTATTTAATTAAGAAACAGTCTAAAGCTTCATCAGAGGGAACACATTACAGCAGCATCCTTCTACATAAAGTTGAATGGAAGTTTTAGTTTGCATAAAGAAAATACATATGGACGTTTATTTCGCAAATAAAAAGTACAACATAAGGTTGGTAGTGGATCATTGAATGGCAAATCGCCAATTGGTAATGTGTTAACAAAAATCTAACCAATAATATGAATAAAGTAAGATCTAATCAGTGACATGAATGTAACAGTGCAAGTGAGATAGAAAAGGGACAAATCTGGGTTTACCTAAGACATAAAGGTCCAGGAGTAGCTTCAAAGTATGCATTGAGAGCTGGTTTCAAAAGAAAATCGTCCTTATGAACAGGTTTAAAGCCGTGACCAATCTTCCAACAATATCTGCGGAGAACAGTTGCGTGAGTAAATAGTTTTTTTTATAAACAGTGAGTAAACAGTTCTTGTCTGCTTAAGGCGGTATCATGGACTGTGAACTCACCGACTAAACGGCCTGCCGGTCCAGCTATGCCTTCAAGGTCTGCGAACTCAAGGAACTCGAAGCTGTCCAAGCAGAAATGTGAATCATCCTCGGTGGAGCAAACGAATGTAGTCTTCGTCGTGAAATCAAGGATGCAGTCATTAGAGTAGGAGGACCAGCGCCTCCTGGCCTCGCGCTGGGTAAAGAGCGAGATGAAGTAAACCCTCCCCACAGTGAGAACCTCATCGAGATGGGGCGAGAGCTGCCGAGGCGCGCCGCAGCCTGAACCAGGACTCCCTTGACAGAGTGAAGAATAGTTTAACCATTAGAGGCATATACTTACACGCATAAGAAGAAAAACGAAAGACACTAACCAATTCGCCCGTCCAAAGTGTTGAGTGTTCATAGAAACTGTCAGGCCGGCTAGGGTTCCATTCCAGCCATCCATGTGTGGAGAAGACGCAGCTTGAGTATAGGATCCTTGTCAGTCCAGCCTAATTTTGAGAGCAGAACATGATTTGCGGGCGCCATTGCAGGGAGAAGAGGCACGCTATAGGCGTAAGCGGCCGGTGGAAGCTTCCCGAGCGGCGACAGCGGCAGCGGTAGGATCGGGATGGGAATGAGAATCGAGTGCAGAGGCGGACCAAGCAGGAAGGCAGAAGCAAAATTGCAAGTGGGGCAATTGGGCAAAGTATAATCCGGGTCGCAAAATGGCGTCAAGGTGTGGGAGAGAGGGTAAAAGGACAGTTAACTGGAAAAGGGAGGGCAAAACAAAGCATGGGCGGTGGCGTGATTGGAACCGGCGCTCCATCAAAGGTGGCGTGTACAAGATAGCATCACAAAGACACATGGTACCATCGAAAGGAGAAGGAAAGACAGGTCGTTTCGCCCGTGTACAGTATGTACGGCAAGGATGGCTGCATGGAGGCAGAGGTGGGGTGGGTGGTCGTAAAGAGGGGAGAACTATCGCCGAAGAGTCTCAGCAGAAGGGCTTCACCAATTGCCGCTAAACGACAGAAATTGAAACAGTGACAAAATGGAGGAAAAAGCGTAGCCCGCTTTTATATACTAAAAAGAATACTTACAATGAACTCTACAACATCAACCTTGTGGCCAAGGTTAATCCAAATCATAAGGGATTGATCGATATACGGATCAGCTAGTAATATTTTTATCTTTTTAAATGATAACTATTATTAATATTCAAAATAACTAATAATGACTTGAAATAACTCATGCCCTTATGTTATTTCAAAATAACTCATTTTACCCTTATATTTTTGCAAAATACCACATACGCATGGTTCTACCAAACGAGATAATTTGATTGAGTGACCACTGAAATAACACTGAAATATCACATAAAAATTAATGAAATATTTGACTCTACAAATACCATCCTGACAATTAATCCATCCAAACGACCCCAAATCATTCTTTCATCCCCCTCCCTTTATTCTTCCTCAACTTCTTCCAAACCCTTTAAAGTTTAAACTCTCAATGTCCATGCTTCGATAAGATACAATATATTCAAAATTCCGCTTTAAAGTTTAGAACGTTATGCTTTTACGCTTATAAGTCACCAAAACGCTTCTACATAGAATCGTGTTTTTCAGTGCATTTATCATATATATATATATGCATGCATGAGATTAATGAATCATCATTAGCATAAATTATCTCATACCAAGGGGATTATCAGGATTTAAGCCAATCCTTACAAGTTTTAACAAAATAGTGATGACCAAGGCGACATTCAAAAAGAAAGAAATAATTATATTCAGTTTCATGTGCTTATAAAGGTTTGGTTTAATTATGAATTAATTCCTCGTTTGTACGTGCAGGTGGATTATATCATGGGGAAGAATCCGTTGAAAATGAGCTACATTGTTGGGTATGGTGACAAGTTTCCGAGACACGTACATCATAGAGGGGCATCAATCCCACACAACAAGAGAAGGTACTCGTGCACCGGTGGGTGGAAGTGGAAGGACAGCAGCAAGCCCAATCCTAATAACGTGACTGGTGCCATGGTCGGAGGACCAGATAGGTTCGACCATTTCCATGACTCTCGAAACAATTACAGCTACACCGAGCCGACCTTGGCTGGGAACGCTGGTCTGGTCGCCGCACTCGTGTCCCTCACTGTCACCGATGCCAACTACGGCATCGACAAGAACTCCATTTTTGAAGCGGTTCCACCACTTTACCCGCAGAGCCCACCTCCTCCGCCTCCTTGGCGACCTTGAAGTTTTCCCCGCTCATTCTCGCACATACGTTAATTGATCACTTTGGTGAACCTACGATTTCCAAAAGTATAACCACCTGTTTTTTTCAGTTGGCTCACCATTCTGATTTCTGAATGTGCCTTCTCTATCTGATGCATTGATCCCCCAAGAAATTTGATTTTATTTGTATTGTACATGCTATATCATATAGGTATTAAGTTCACTCGGGGGTAACAAAAGAAATAAAGCATTCTTGGATTTATAATTATGAATTATATATGGATTCAAGGCCTTTAATTGCATCGTGTAATCTCTTTTCATATGAACTTTGGTTTTGGAATAAAAACAATCAATGGAAGATTCAATAATCTCTTTTCTTAGCGACCGTGAACAACCTTAGCGTCAGTAACCTCAGAAACCCCTCTGGACTCTTCTTGGTTCACGGGTTGTGGCTCCAGATCACGGTCCTGGCTGTGAACTCTAATGGTAGAACGTGAACACAGGCCGTTTCCTCCTCTTTGCCTGGTCTTTGCTCTTTTTCTTCCAACTTTCGACTTCGGGGTTGGTTTCACCTGTTAGAATCTGAAACACAATGAAACACAAGAAACCTAGCGTAAAACCACCCCTTCTAGAGCTGAATTGCAACAAACTTCAAAGGGAAATGGGGATAAAAAGTGTACAATTAGGCCTGAATCTCTCCCCCACACTTAGACGTTTGCTTGTCCCCAAGCAAACCATTTTACACAAGGTAATATCTCAACCTAACAAAATGCTTTGGAGACAAATCAAAGGGAACAAAGTGGTGAATCTCAATGGCTATTGGCAATTAACACATGGATCGTTGCTAGCAATACCGACATCCACCACAAACGACATTCGAGATCAGCAAAAATGGGCAAACAAAAAGTTCCCACCTTGTTCATGAATCAATGCAAGTCTCAACAAAATCACTTATCAGTCACAACTAACCATGCATAATAATCAAGTCCGTAGAACAAATGAATGGGCAACAAAGGTCCTCACCAGGGTATGATATGACATGCAAAGCAAGAATGAACCACTCACTCTCTTGACCAGTGGGGTCAGGACCTTTTTGGTGCAAAGAATGTGCACAATCATCAACACTCGGCCCTATCATCTCTTCACCATGGCAGAAACCTCTAAATGTTAGAGTTCACGGGACGGTTGTCATCACTAGCTTGTCCAGAGGTTTAGACACGGGTTCAAATGACTGGCAATTGTCTTGGACATGGGGAAAAAAAATTTTGGGTGGTGGCAAACACATCATGAGGTCCTACATCTTCACCCTAACCAGAAGGTTCTATGGTTTCGGCGAAGAACCTTCCCTACAAACAATGGCCACTCGCATCGGCCAAAAACCTTGCTTCTCCCTTCCAACTATCACTCGTCATGAACTTCCTTTAAGCGCTCTTCCTCAGTCTACTCTTGCTATCACATTTCCACTTGGTAGTAAAGGAGTTCTAAAACAATGTGGGGGTTTCAATAGCTTGAGTGCCAAGAAACCCCACTCAGAGCATACTCTTTAATTCTTTTGTTGCTCTAGAGAGTTAAACACTTGCCACATTACCTTTAACAACCAATGCTCTCTTTTTAGAACTTACACCAACACTACTCTTTTCTCTTTCATTCCTAGAAAGAACCGCACACAATCCTCCTATGTAGAACCTCAATGAAACTCAAAAGCGAGAGCTCCGGGACACAAGGACAACTCACGTTTAGACACGAAGAAAGGATGGGATTCGTTCTATCAAACACCATTAAGCTCCCAAGCCAAAAGCTCCTACAAGAAAACGACCCCCAAAGTCACAAGGCTCAAAGGGGTTTACTAGGAGATAAAGCATTTCGGGACACTCAACATTTGGGCGTGGACTAATCCTATGCCTCCATCATACTCACTAGTGACAAATGTGATGTTATTCGTCATGGTAAGAGGGATCTAAGCACACAAGAAGAAAACGATCGGCTCAAAACTCACATGGCTACCTAGTCACCCAATCATCCATTCTAATTTCACAAAACATAATGCATGGAATTTGTACTCAACAAGTAATTGAGTCAAGACATCCATTCATTTTTGCACACATGAGAGCTAAACTATTGCACTATCCTAATGCACCTCTTAGTCATCGTCATAGGACACACTCGATCACATGCAACAATTCAAGGTTAATGCCAATTAACCCCGAGATTCTCCTACAAACCGGACACTTTGATCATGCAAACATTGCTTGCAGCCCTCTAAAATTTTCAAATTTGGGCATACATCAAGGCTACTAGCATCAATCACACTCACACGAACATAATAATGAACTACCCCCTCCCCCCCCCCCCCCCCCCCCCCCACACACTTAAGTTCGACACTTCCCTCAATGGCGTAAGATAGGGGTCGAATGATGTTACCGCTTGGCTTGGTGAGTGAACGTTGGAATTTTATGGGGTAGGAGAGTTTATCTTCAAGGAGAAGACAAAAACATACACACAAACACACCACATACTCGCTCGAGGAGAGGTTATTACACAAAACAATACGATAGTAGTAGTAGTTCACACATACTAAATAAAAGAAAGAAAAATAAAACAACAAAGTTCGAAGTGGAGAAGTTGGGCGAAAGGAATCAGTTCTGCCAGACTGCCACATGTCTCACTCATCGGCTACCTCTCACTGAGTTGAAGGCCTCGGCTTATCATCTGGAAGGAGGCCCTAGCGACGAGCAATCCGCTCAAAAAAGTCGGTCTGCCGCTCGAGCCGGGAAATGACTCCCACGACATAGGTCTGAAAAACAGTACATCCTCTCCACGAGGGGCACCTCGGAAGTAGAAGGACTGGCACCTGATGGTTCTGCTGCTGGTAGTGGTGGTACAGGGCACTGGAGCGCTGGTGATAGACCGATAATTATACATGTTTTCACCCCTATTCTGAAGTCGTTTGTGATGAGGAATCTCGTATTTTAAGCCGATTTTACGCTAGGTTGTGTGTTTATGTCATGTTTCAGGTCCCGGCGTTGGAATCGAGGCGGAGAAACGAGTTCTAGGTCGAAAGGAGCGAAGTTGGGACAAAGTGGGCTGCAGGAGGAAAATACCCGGTCAGGTGGCCAAATACCCGGCCGGGTATTCATCACTTATGGGCGCCCGAGAAGCAGAGAGGGGCCCGGGCAAAACAGCAAAATCCCCGGTCGGGGATCATGGCGAGTGACCGGGGATTCTTCCCTTAATGAAACGGTGCGCTGCGGAAATACCCAGTCGAAACCCAAAATACCCGACCGGGTATTTCGACCGGGTATCGCGACCAGGCAGCCAATTTAAGGAGAAAGAAGGCCAACATTGAAGGGTTCCGAATTTTTGAGAGAGAAATCGACTCCTAGAGAGAGAAAGCGACGAACCAGAATTCTCAAGCGCCATAGATCGATCTTCAACACCATTGGAGCCCGTCTTGAGCTTGGAGAAGTGCGATTAAACGTCCAGGAGCAGGAATCCAACTTCATAGTATGATTTCCGCGTCTGAATCGGCTTTTGCTTCTTTCTCTATGGAGTAGTTTCCCCATTCATCTGGGTATGGGGAACCCTAGATTTGTATGCTAGGTCTGATTGTATGAACCCAAGTACAGAGTTTGTGAATTGATTATATTCGATTGAGGTTTGAATGATTGAATGACTTGAATCCTGATCAAATTCCTGTTGTTTCTGCTTTGACCTGGAATGAGAATATCTGCCTAGGTTGATAGAGTACCCTTAATCGAAGGTGGCGAATTGGTGACTTTAGTCGAGGAGCCAATTCGCTATTCTGTACCGAAGTTAATTCGGTAGTGGAGGTTTGGTTCATTAGGGCCTCAATCTGTTTACTCCGGTGGAGGTTAGTCGCCCGCTAGAGACTCAGATTGAGAGGGTCTGGAGACCTTTAGTCGAGACTTCAGGCTAATTGAGAACCTTCCGCAGTATAACTTTCATGAAAACTGAACTTGGTAATTACAATCCGACTTAACTGCAGTCTAGGGGGATCCATATCTGGGTGACCTCTCTTGACTTGACAACAAACCGTTTACTTGCTTTGTGTTTTGTTTGCTTGAGTTGCACTAAAAGTTCACCGCTAAATAACAAGAATTCACCGAGTAGTCATCACATCTAGGACCCGGGTTGACAATAAAACCCAAACCCGCTATACTACGCTTTAGGAAGTGGTTGCACTTGGCCATTTTCTAGGGTGACAGTAACAGCGAGTCAAGTTTTTGGCGCCGTTGCCGGGGACGGCTAGGTTGTTGAAGAAAAGTGATTTCTGTTACTTTAGCATTTTCATTTTTGCATTGAGTTTTTGTTCTTCCCACTTGTGCCTTCACGGGTTTGCATTGCTTGATTGTGTGCAGCTAGTGCATGACCCGTAGCCAGTCGGGAGGTTTACTGCCGTTGAATCCTGAGATTGAGCGCACCTGCAAACAACTTCGGAGACAACAGCGAGCTAGACTGGCTACGGTGGAGCGCCGAGACGGCCAATTGACCAGCGACTCCGAGGACGAGCACGAGATGGAAGGCGATCAGAACCCGCCTCCTCAGAACCAGATCCTGGGGAACGACCAACATCCCCAGGGAGCTGGCCACCATCATCATCCACCACCACCGGGTCCCACCTTGGAGTACTACTATACTCCACGGATTGCTGACATCCGCCCGGTCATCCTCTATCCGCCCATCCCTGCAAACAACTTCGAGATCAAGCCATGCTGGATCCAACTCATCACATCCTCTATCCAGTTCCATGGCTTGAAGGATGAGGAAGCCCGGGTACATCTTTCCCGTTTTCTGCAGCTGACGAACGGGTTCAAGTTGAATGGTGTCCCGGATGACGCAATCCGCCTTCATCTCTTCCCCCATTCTCTGGCGGGGAATGCTAAGAGGTGGTTGGAGACCCAGCCCCCATTGTCCATCACCTCTTGGGACGATCTGGCTGACAAGTTCGTGCACCGGTATTATCCGGCATCGAAGACCACGGAGATCCAGCGGGAGATCAC